TGTTTGATCCTGCAATTCCTCTACTAGGTATATACCTGGATGATCAAAATTATTTTACAACAAAGACATTTGCACCAGAATGTTTACTGCAGCCTAATTCATAATAGCCAAGACATGGAAACAGCCCAAGTGCCTATCAACCCATGAATGGATTAAGAAATTGTGGTATATGTACACCATGGAATACTATGCAGCCATAAAAAGATGGAGACTTCACATCTTTTTTTCTTTCTTTCTTTCTTTTTTTAATTGAATGGTAACTATGTACATTAATGCACTTCTGGGGTACAGTGTGGGAGACTTCACATCTTTTATGCTTACCTGGATGGAGCTGGAACATACTCTTCTTAGTAAAGTATCTCAAAAATGGGGGAAAAAGTATCCAATGTACTCAATACTACCATGAAATCAACATATAACCACCTATACACTCATATGAATGGCAAAACATAACTATAGTCCAGAAAGTAGAAGGGAAGAGAGAGAGGGGAGGGGGATATGGGAGGAGGGAGGGTATTTGGGGGGACCTCACCTAATGTGCATGATGCAATGGTACATTTCAAAACTATTTAGAAATGAATATAATTGTGATGGATGTGTTATTTAGTTTAATGTAAGCACTTCACATTGTATATTGAAGCAGTACCCTGAACTCCATAAATGCATCAATGTACAAAGTTATGATTTAATAAAAAATAATTTAAAAAAATAAAGTGCCTAGGTCCCCATCTTGCCTGGGTCCCCATCCTGCCACCTTCTCAAATAAACTGTAATGCCTGTGAAACATCAATGGCCAGGTAGCAATTACTTGACACTAACTCCACAGGATGACTAATTTCAACTTGGGCTGTAAAAATAACTGTTGTCAAGCACCAAACTAACTCCACTTTTTAGGATGCAGAGAGAATTCTACTTTGTTTTGAGACCATCTTCAAAATTATCAACACCAATGCCCATTTCCTGGACTTTACTTGTTAATCATGATGTCCCAAAACTTCCATATGTTACATTAATTATTAGCTGAATGCTACACCTAGTCATACATAGTATTCATCTGCTGGGTGAAAGTGTGATTTCTTCCTGGAGACAGATCTATGAAAGTGGTTTCCTGAGAAGAGCCATATTAGATCTTTGCCTAGCTCAAAAGATTTCCCATGGTAGTTTGAAGTAATAACCCAAAGGTTAATAAGTATAACGTTGACTGGTTAATCATTTCAAACAGGGCCACTGCATATCCTGATGATGAGCAAAGTCTGTTTCCTTGACAAGAGTTAGGCAGTGCACTTCCTCCGAGATACTGTTAAGTTTGGTAAGGGAAGCATCTCAAGGGTAGGCTTTTGTATCTTTCACAAGGACACGGATACTGATGCGTTCACAGTAGGCATTCTACACATACAAGATGAATGAATGACTGACATCATGGTAACGACTGCCTCCTGGAGAGTCAAAAGTTAAAAAAAAAAAGGAAAATAAACTCTGATTATAAAGACATAAAACTGAAATACATTTCTTGTATCTTCTTCAGAAAATTATTACAAGTAACTTAAATTTCTCCCTACCAACTAAAGAAAAAAAAATCTCCCTCTAAACACTACCCTATACCCAGCTTGAGCTTCTTCACCAAATACAAATATTGTCACAACCTACTTTACTTCTTGAGTTTATAGTACAAACTCTATTCATAATCTCCAAGGAAACATGAGTATATTCTTTTTTCTACCAGAAAGTTAACTGAATTACTCTTTCTGGTAGGTTCATCTTTAAACTAATGGGAATAGGGTCTGTGCCTTCTAGTCTTGAGACCACGGAGAAGATACTCTCATGTCAACTTCGAAAATCACCATGAAGAACACCGTTGGATAATATTTTTTTCCACCGGCCATTGGCATCATCTGAATTAAATGTACTCCTTTTCAGATATGGTGCACTTTTCAATACAAGCATTTACTTAACCACCTCCCCTCCCGATTTTTCCACTATGCCTTCACATTCATTTTAACATTTTTCCAGTTATCTCAATCAGAAAATAAACGGCTAATTTCTCCCATGTTTTCTTACAAAAATTTGCGTATCAAATATGAAAATATGATATAGAAAGATAATAAGACGAAGGTAAAAATGACAGAAGATTTGTCAAAAGATAATATGTAGCAATCAAAGATTCTCTAACTATGAATCAGGGACGATTCTACAGCCCACTGCCTGGGTTTCAATCTGCAACATTCAGAAGAACCATCTGGGAGGTGGTGAAAATGCAGACTCCTGGGCTTTGTCCCATTATATGAACAATTAAAGCTATTGTGGAAATCTGTATTTTTAACAACCGTCTTGGGTGATTCTGATGCAGGGCCAGAGCCCAGCCAAACTCAGAGACAGCTAGCAGAAAGTGGGTAATGCAAAGTGTCAGAATAATTTCTCAGCATCTAGAGACCGTGCCTTTCAATCCCAGTGCTACCTCTAACTGGTCATGTGACTACAGACGTAACTTCCCCCGA